GGGGGGGGGGTCAGAGGATCCAAAAGTGGGCTTTATGCTGACAGCAGTCAGCCCAATGTGGGGCTCGAACTCAGGAACCGTAAGACCATGACCTGAGCAGAAGCCAGATGTTTAACTGACTGAGCCATGCAGGCACCTCTAAAGTGACTTTTCTTATGTCAAGAAATTTATGCCTCATCTTTCTTTTTCCAGGGATCACAAATTATTTCTGCTTATACTACCAACATTAAATATGTTGTGAGAGCCACGTTCTAAGGCTTTGAAAGGTTAATGGGACAGATTCCTTTTGTGTAGGACCTTAAAGAGAGAGAAGAGAAATTGAAAGGGCCCCATGAAGGGCTGTTTTTTGAAGGACTGCTTTTTTGCCCATTTCCCTGCTTCTCTTCTTGCTAGGACCAGCACACCTGCCTTACACATTCCTTATAATACAAATAATGTATGTCCTCCTTGTAAGAATGAAGGAGTTAATGGTTTCTTTGGAACCTTCCAGCACAATAGAAAACTTCTAAGGAATGAGTGAGTGAGGCCATGATGTGTGTATTCCAGACCACCGGTGCTAGAAATCTCAATTTTAAGACCCCCTAGCACCAAGGAATAAGTGACTTATGGAGGACACGTGGACCATTCTCCCTGTTCTGTCCAGTTCCTCGATGCCTGAGAGGACACTTACATCAGACCACAATCCTCAGTAAAAACCCCAGACACCAAGCAAAGACAAGACTCTCTCCTTTCCTGAGTCTCCCAGACACTCTGCCTGTATCTGTACTCTCTCTGTATCTTTAATAAATTCTGCTCTTACTTCTTCTTGGCTCACATTTGATTTTTATGCTGCGTGAAGCCAAGGACCCTCTTGGCTGGTCCTGCGGGACCCCCTCTGGGTCCTCGGACCCAGCCTGCCTTCATCATAAGAGTTTATAAAGTAGAAGAGTGATACTGAAATAGCCACCAGAAATAATACCACAGATGTGCTAAAAATTCATCCCAAGGAAATCATTAAAGATGTGCGAAAAGATTTTTTTAAGTTTATTTAAGAAATCTCTACATCCATGGGGCACCTGGGTGCCTCAGTTGGTTAAGTGTCGGACTTCAGCTCAGGTCATGATCTTAAAGTCTGTGGGTTCGAGCCTTGTGTCAGGCTCTGTGCTGACAGCGCAGAGCCTGGAGTCTGCTTCAGATTCTGTGTCTCCCTCTCTCTCTCTCTCTCTCTCTGCCCCTCCCCCACTCACACTCTGTTTCTCTCTCTCTCTCTCTCTCTCAAAAATAAACATTAAAAAAAAAATCTCTACATCCAACGTGGAGCTCAAACTTATGAGCCTGACATCAAGAGTCACCTGCTCTTCTGACTGAGCCAGCCAGGAGCCCAATGAAAAGATTTTTATGTCAGATTCATCATGGTATTATTTATTGTAGCAAAAGATTGAAGACCACTTAAAGGACAACAGAAGGAGACTGGGTAAATGAATTATAGCACATTTCTTGCATGGAACACATATACTAAAACATTTAAATGTGAAGCTATAAATATACTTAAATGAAAGTGAAATGTTTGGTAAGTAGAATAATGTGCTGGGTCAGAAGATGGTCTTGAAAACACAAACCACAATAATCAATCTCATGGCCATGTTTCCAGGCTTAGAAGCCCTGGGCATCCTTAAAGATACCTAGCAGATAAAGACTACAAAGCAACTTTTATAAATGTCGATTTAAATAAAGAGGTAAACTGATGCACGTTCAACAAGATGAGTTTATTTGGGAATAGCAAAGATTGCAATTCTGGACACCCAAACTGTAGCAAGCTACAGATAAAACCCGAATTACAATTCTTCTCCTATTCCCAAATAAATTCATCTTTCTGAGCTTGCCTCGGTTTCCCTCTGTATTTAGGTTGACATTCCTTGGAGTCAGAAGTGGGATCCAAAGGAGATGACCCCAGAAGAATGATGATCCAGGGAATAATGTGAGGTACCTGTCCCAAGCACCTTTCACTCATGGCTTCTGTCAGTCCAGACCTACTTCTCTTGGGTGAGTCTCCTCTAGGATTCTGAGATCCCTGCCTTTGGTTAACATTTCTGACTTTATTCAAGATCTGTTTAAAAACTATCATTTTTTGGGGCGCCTGGGTGGCGCAGTCGGTTAAGCGTCCGACTTCAGCCAGGTCACGATCTCGCGGTCCGTGAGTTCGAGCCCCGCGTCGGGCTCTGGGCTGATGGCTCAGAGCCTGGAGCCTGTTTCCGATTCTGTGCCTCCCTCTCTCTCTGACCCTCCCCCATTCATGCTCTGTCTCTCTCTGTCCCAAAAATAAATAAACGTTGAAAAAAAAAAATAAAAAATAAATAAAAACTATCATTTTTTGGTGAGTACTTGTTTCTCTTAGTGAATACTAGTTTGTTTGGTGAATACTTCTTTGTTTTATTATTGGAAGCACACCAAAATGTTGGTATAGTTCCTTTGGAATTCTTGGGACTGTTAAAAATAAAGCCACACATAAGCCCAAGGTGGAGTCACTTGCCTTCCAAGTTGCAATTAATTGCAACTTCAACCTCTCCAAGAGTGGAATTTTAAACCAATCAATCTGGAATGTTCTGGTCTGCACCAAAGAGGTAATCTGTCACTTGGGGCCCTCTCATTCCCAAAGGAAGATCAGGTAATCTGCATGATAAGAACCACCCCACCCCTCATCCCACATTTTCTTCAGAGGGGAAGTGAATTTACCTAAAACAATACTTTATTTTCTTTTGCTTTTTTTCACTTTTCTTGCCCAATCCTCCTTCCTATAAAAACTTGCCATTTTGTATAACTCCTAGCAAACCTCCACTCTACAGTTTATGAATTGTTTAATAAAACCGACTAAATCTTCAAATTTACTCAGTTAAATGTTTGCTCTTTAGCAGGTATTAGAACTATTAAACAAGCTTGGCAAGTTTACAGAATAGAAGATCAATATACAAAAATCAATTGTTTCCATAGACAAAATAAAGATGCAATTAAAATATTCCATTTACAAGAGCCTCAAAATAATAAAATACCTAGGAATAGATGTATCAAAAAAAGTGTAAAAACTGAACTGTGAAAGCTACAAAACATTGTTGAAAAAAACTTAAAAAGACCTAAGTTATGAAAATACATGCAATACTGAGTCAGAGCCTGTGGGGATTCTTAGCCTTGACCTGTTGAGTACTCTCCTGCAGCTTCCATCTTCCTCTGCCATCCTCTCCCCTAATCTGTGCCCCCAAATTCATTAAGGAAGTTTCCAGCGCCATGGACTGTTGAAGCTCCCCCAAAGTATCCACAGGTTTTTCACACTTTTCTGTATTTGCCACCCTAGGAACTCTGTATGAGAAGCAAGAGGGTCTTGGGACAAATGACTATTGAAGACATTACTGTCCTTACAATACAGCATACTAAAGGCTGGGATAAGGAAGCGGCTAAGAAAGCTGTAGTGACTCTCCATAGAAAATACATAGGCCCAACCCGCTAAATTTACATTCTAGCCTTATCTCTTCCAACTTACACTCAGGCTCGACCACAATTTAATTACCTAGGTAGTGCCCAATCAGAGCAATTCTCCAGGTGCCACCCACAAGAATACGTACCCTTATACGCCCCTTCTTAAGTAATCCTGGGCCCAGCTAATAGAATAAGCGTCCAGACTTTCCTACGGCCCTCTAATACACACGAAGATCTCGCTCCTCATATTAACACCCTCAGGCCCTCCCTGGAGGGTGCAATTCCAAGATTGGGCTCCTGAACTTTCCAGGCTCCGCCCTCTAACTGGCCTATAAACTTCAACCCATTCCTGACATTTCGAGTCCCGCCCCTTCGCGCTTGTAGGCTCCACCCCCTAGAGTGGCCTTCCAGGACCGCCCCTTAGCCAAGTGCCCGCCCCCAACGCTCTCCAGGACCCACCTTCTCAGAAATGCCATTCAAAGCCCCACCGACAGGGATAACCAATCCGGCCCGCACTCACAACTAGCCATGCAACATTCACCTACTGCAGTAACCTTCCCAGTGTCACCTCCTGGAGGAATATTCTAGGATCACGTCAGGGCTCCCCCGTCTCGCAGCTCCCTCCGAGCCCCGCCCCACCAGTCCCCCCAGGGGAGCATTGGCCCCACCCAGGGGAGCAACCAACCATCCCGGGTCCGCCACGTCAGAATCCGGCTCCAGTCAGACCCCGCCCCCTGAGAGGCCCCGCCCCGCCCCGCCCCCGACACGCACCGGCCTTGGGGCGCAGGCGCAATGTGGCGCCCGTCCTGCGTACCAGCGCCGCCACGTCGGCCGCAGCTCGGGCCGCCAGGGGGCGCGCGTCCAGCCGCGCCAGGAGCTGCCGGGCTCTGGGTCCCGCGGGCAGGGAAAGGCCCCGGCCTGCGCGGGTGAAAGGAACAAGTCAGCGCCTGCCGGAGCCTCGGCCAACCCCCACGCTCCCCGACGTCCGAAGACCTAGAATGCCCCTCAAGATCTTCAGAGCCCCCCGACCACTCGCTCGATAGTTCCGAAGGTCGCCCACTGCCCCTCTCAATTCCCGCGACCCCCAGACCATCGCGAGTATGCCGGTGGACCCCCGCCTGCCCCCACCATAATCCTGGAGACAGCTATGTGGCCGAATTAATTATTCCCGGACCCTTCCGAACATCTTGGGACTATCTCTGGAGGTCTCCGACTGCCCCTTCATAAGCCCAGATTCCAAACTCTTTCCGCACGATATCGAGAGGGACCCCGATTTCTCCAGGTGCCCCGACAGAACAGGGTCGGCCGCCGCTGCGGCCCCGGCACCCCCGATTCCCCTTCCAGATAGCCAGGTATCCAGATACCCTGATGGCCCACGTAGTCCCAAATTGCCCCTCCATTTATCCCAGAGGCTTCCCGCCTAACGCCCCCACCCCCGCAATTCACTACAGACCCTGAGGGCCCAGGTGTCCCCAGTGACCCGGGCAGACCCCAGTGGCACAACTCCCCGGAGACTCCTGAGAGCCCCCGGGTCTGGTACACGGCCCCGCGGTGCGGATGCGGGTGCGGGTACGGGTGCAGGTCGGAGACCTGGAGCCCAGCCCGGGTCGCCGGGCCCCCCTGCTCGCCGCCACCGCCACCGCCACCGCCACTAGGGCGCCTGGGCTGCTTTGTTTACTACCTGTCGGAAGGAAAAGGTGAGGAGCAGACAGGCGGGGCGAGGGGTGGCAGGGACGCGCCCAGTCCCTCCTCACCCTCCCGTACCTCCTCTGCTCCCCCTAGGGTCCGTGACGCCCCCCGCGTGCGGCTCCATGACCCGAAGTCTGTCGGGTGGACGCACGGCCGCCAGCGACGCGTTTGGAGCTCCTGGGCGCGCTCACCTGGCGGCCCGCCCGAGCCTGGGCGCCGCTGTAGCCGGCTGGTCCCGTGCCCGGCGACCTGACCCGCGCAGTCACCTACCTGGCGACAGGCAAGGAGGCCTGGCTGTGGGAGGCAGCGTGAGCGCTTGGCCTCCCTCTACCTCAGGCGCCCCCTCTGCTCTCCCAGGACCCTGGGCTGTGCTCCTTTTCCCACCCAGGAGAGGCTTTATTCCATGAGCGAGAAGGGGAAGTCGAGGCCCAGAAAAGTTAAGGTCCCCGCCCCAGCTCTGACAACTAAACACGGGGGTGCAGAAGTGGAACCCACGTTTACCAGGGAACTCTGCAGCCTCCAGCAGAGCTTTGCTCCTGGTAGTTACTGGGTACATTTGCAGTGAACGTTGGCCTGAGCCAGGACCTACTTGGGAACTGGAAGAGTCTGTTGAGCTGGGCAGGGGGTAGCCCTTGAGGAGACTTGGGTACCACGGGAGGGTTTGGGGCCCTGAGCATGATAGGGCTGGGAGACTCAAGAAGCCGGGAAGGGCAGGTGCCCTGGAGAGTGGAGGGGTGGTAGGGGCCTGAACTTGAGGAGGCTTTGAAGGCCCCCCTGTTGGGAGGGGACACGAGCCAATGAGAGGTGAGAAATGAGGCCTCTCTTAGGTATTAAAAGTGGGGGCGGCCTGGGGAGAGCGGGCGGGGGGGGGGGGGGGCACTTGGGCACAGTGCTACTGTAGTGGAAGGAGGAATGGGGTGCAATGAGAGACAGTCTGTGACAACCACTTTGTGGAGGAAGAAACTGAGGGGCACAGGGGCTCAGACACCTGTCCAGGGCCCTACAGCCGGCCGGTCTCAAGAAGCTTACCCCCAACATGCACTGTTTCTGTGACTTTCACTATAAGCTGTGGACACACTGTGTCCTGATGCTCATTCTGGGTGGCCGGGCAGCCTCTCTGGGCCACCTTTCAGGGTCTCTGTGGTGTCATAGGTGAGAGGGGCGGAATGGTCCCTGCTTTCCTTCCTCCTGGAATGTTGTGGCCCTCCCACCTCTGATCTGACCTTGTCTGAAGGGAAATACACTGGACTTTATTCACTGCTCTGCCTTTTTCTTGTGCATACCACATGGGGCTGTCACCGTTCCCCAAATATGTGCACGGTTTTCCCCACCCTCCTGCCTTTGTCATGCTGTTTCCTGTGTATTGGAGCCCTTCCGAATCTTGTCCACCTGGAAAAGAACTTCATGTTATCAAGGCCCAGTTTTAAGGCTTCAACAATCCATTCACCCTTTTCTGAAAAGAAAGAGCATATGTTCATTGCAGAAAATGGATGATTGGTTGAATATGTAGAACTGTAAACTAATGTGTTTTTTCTGTGAGGAAGAGTCTAGGCTGATATCTTTTCCTGCGTCTTCTCAGGAGCACTGGATTAGGGAGAAAAAAACCAAGGCTGATCCCTAGGCTCCCATGTCCTCTCCTTCCCTGGGAAGCCTTCCCACTCTACTCTCTCTTCCAGGTCCCTGTCCCCTTGAACTCCCCTTGGGAAATTCCCCAATCCTGCAGGGCAGTGCTGGTCACTGGACTCACTGTGCTATATGGGCCTCTGTCTCCCTATACTGGGTTCTTTGCCCACATCTGACTCAACGTGGGTCTGGTGTTGTGTAGGGGAAGGTTGAGACCCTCTATAGTACAGTTCTCTGTAGAATTTTCATTAGTTTATGTATTCTGTGGACATTTTCTACCACCTGGTCAGAGCTTGGCCCCCCCCCCCCACTCCGCCACTGTGGTGCAGGAACAGTTGGGTACATGGAACTGAAACTGCCCTGGTGCTGCCATTAGCAGGAGCCATCTCTGGAGGAAGAGGCCCTACTGGATGCCTACGCAGACAGACATTGACAACACAGTGTGGTCAGGTCTGGGACCTGCCTCTCTTCTAGGTTTGTATGGAAACGTATTTCTCAAGGTAGGAGGGTACATCAAATTTTATTTAATAATTACCTCAATTTTTTACTTTTAGATTTTTGGCCTTATAGTATGTGGGCCTCCGTTTTTATTCTTCCCCTAGGACTCACAAATGTTGTGGGTTGGCCTGGTCAACCTCAGAAACAAAAGGGGAGCACATAGATTTCAAAATTTGACATGCTACAAAGACATAGTAATAAAAAGTGTTGAACTGGGAGTGAATTAGGCAAACTCCTCAATGAGAAATTGGGGTTTTATTTTTTATGTATTTATTTACTTATATTTGAGAGAGAGAGAGAGAGAGCATATGTGTGACCCAAGACAAGGTGCAGAGGAAGAGAGAGAGAGAGGGAGAATTCCAAGCAGGCTCAACCCTGAGCTGATGCAGAACTCCATCCCACCACCCTGGGATCATGACCTGAGCCGACATCAAGAGACACTCAACCGACTGAGCCACCCAGGTACCCCAGAAATTGGGGTTTTAGAAATAAGTATATACAGGAACTTGATACATAATGTATAGGTGGCACTTCAAATTAAATGGGAAAGAATGGAATCTGGTATATGGGTGGGGGGGGAATCAGCTCACCCTAACCTCAATGGGATGCCACCTCACACCCACTAGAGTAGCTACTATCAGGATAATGGAAAAGAACAAGTGCTGGCCAGGATGTGGACAAGTTAGTACCTTTGTGCATCATGGTGGGAATGTAAAATGGTGCAGCCACTGTGGAAGACAGTTTGGTGGTTCCTCAAAAAGTTAAATGTAGTCTTCCTATATTTAACTTGTGATTCAGCAGTTATGATTCAGCAGTTCCACTCCTAGATACATACCCAAGAGGAATGATAGCAGAGAATCCAATAGATATGTGTACATGAATGTTCATAGTAGCACTATTCCCAATAGCCAAAAGGTGGAAAGAATCCAAATGTCCATTGAGGGATAAATGGATAAGCAAAATGTAGTATAAACATACAATAGAATATTACTCAGCCTTAAATAGGAATGAAATTCTGACACATGCTACAGCATGAATGAACTTTGAGGACATTATGTTGAGTGAAATAAGCCAGGCACAAAAGGGCAAATAGTGTTTGATTCCACTTAGATGAGGCGCTTAGAATATGCTAACTTATACAGACTGAATGTAGTATCTGGGGGGAAGGGGGAATAGGGTGTTACTGTTAATTAGGTACAGAGTTTCTGTATCCATGGATGGGGCAGGACTGAAATATTTAAAGGTGGGGAGGTTTTTGAGCTTAGATCCAGGAAATTGGCAATGAAGGGATGAGGCTCAAATCAGTGAATGGGTAGGATTTATGAGGTAGATTTATGGAGCCTAAATCCAAGAAAAGTGTGGGGCCAAAATGGAGATAATAAAAAAAAAAAAAACATTAATGTGGCCTGGACTTGAAGAGAGGATTTCTTAAGTCCCTGAACAAAGGGAGCTTTAACAGGGGAAATGGTCTTAACTCTTAGAATGTGACAGCGTCAAGAAGGACATTGATTTAAATAATTTTATGCAGTGTGGCTATGAGGGAGTTCTACTCAAATCCAGGAATGCAGTGCTAAAATGGGGATTGGCTTGGGGTGGCTGGGTGGCTCAGTTGGTTAGGCAGCCAGCCTCGTCTCCAGTCATGATCTCGCAGTTCATGAGTTTCCAGTCATGATCTCGCAGTTCGTGAGTTCGAGCCCTACATCGGGTTCTGTGCTGACAGCTCAAAGCCTGGAGTCTGCTTCCAATTCTGTCTCCCTCTCTCTCTTCTCCTCCCTTGCTTGTGCTGTTTCTGTGTCAAAAATAAATAAACATGAGAAAAAAAATTTTTAAATAAAATAAGATGGAGATTGGTTTAAATCCATGAATAGAGTGAACCTAAGAGAGGTAAATGGCTTAAATCCATCAATGAGATGGGGCCTAAAAGGATTTTGGCATAAATTCATTATGGGGATGTCTAAAATGGGATTGGTCCACCACATCTTGTAATAATCAACATTAATTATGCTGGAGTGGGATTAAGAGGGGATTGCTTTAGATTTATGAATTGGGTGTGGCTATGAGAGGAATGATTGTGGTAAAAGATTGATTGCTTTCCTGTAAGATGAAGAACAAGATATGGATCTTTTGTTCAACATTGTACTGGAGGTCATAGCCAGTGCAATAAGACAAGAAGAAATAAACAACATACAGATCAAAAGAAGTAAAACTATCTTTGTTCAGGCATGATTATTTATGTAGAAAATCAGGTGGAATCTCCAAAAATCTACCAGTACTAATAAATTAGTTTAGCAAGGTTAGAGAACACAAGATTAATAAAGAAAAATCATTTGTATTTCTATATAGGCAAAAATCTGTTGGAAGTTGAAACAATAAAATACCATTTACAATACCATCTAATATATATAGTATTTAGAGATAAAGTTGACAGAAATGTGTAAGACATGGACACTGAAAATTATGAACTATTTAAAATATTTAATAAAGAAGACCTTAATAAATGGGAAATATATCATGTCCAGGGGTCCTAAGACTCAATACTGTTAAGATGTCAATTCTCCCAAAGTTAATCTATAGATTCATCAGTCCAAATTCCAATAAAAATCCTTGCAGTTTTTTTTGAAATTAGCAAACTGACTAAAATTCATATGGAAATGCAAAGAACATAACAATTTTTAATAAACAGAAAATCAGAGTACTTACAATATTTCACTTCAGATTTATTACAGACATACAATAATAAAGACAGTATAATATTGGTAACAAAATAGACAAATAGATCAATGGGAAAGCATAGAAAGTCTGCAACGAGATCCAGACATATAAGGACAACTGATTTTCAACAAAAGAATAAAAGATTTGTCTCTGGGTAAAGGAGTATATTTTAAACATATGGTGCTATAGCAGTTGGGTATAAATTGGATACACATACAAAAAATTTTTTTGAGGAGTGCCCGGGTGGCTCTGTTGGTTGAGCATCCAGCTAGGTTTTGGCTCAGATCATGATCCTAGGTTGGTGGGATGGAGCCCCCCCTTCAGGCTCTGCACTGAGCGTGGAGCCTGCCTAAAGATTCTCTCGCTCACTCGCTCTCCTTCTGCCCCTCTCCCCTGATCGCTCACTCTCTCTCAAATTAAATAAAATTATAAAAAAAATTTTTGAAACACTTGTTTACATAAAGTGGTGTACTTCAAAATAGATCATAGACCTAAATGTAAAACCTAAAACTATACAATTTCTAGAAGCAAGCATAGGAGAAAACCTTTGTGACCTTGTGTTAGGCAAAGGTTATTTAGATAGGATGTCAAAAACACAATCCATAAAGGAACCAATGGATAAATTGGACTGCACCAAAATTCAAAACTTTTGCCTTTCAAAAGACAGTGCAAATTACTCATCTGATGAAGGATTGTATCTACAATATACACATAATGCCCCAAATTTAATAATAAAACAATCAATGCCATAAAAAATAGGCAAAATATTTGAACATAAACTTCATCAAAGAATATATATAGATGGCAAATAATCATGTAAACAGTGTTCAATATTATTAGTCATTAGGGTAATGCAGGTTAAAATCATGATGAATACCACTGTGTACAGTTAAAAAGTCTGATCATACCAACTGTTGGAGAATATATGGAGGAAATGGAGCTCTCATATGTTGCTGATAGAAATGTAAAATGATATAGCATCTCTAGAAAACAGTTTGGCAGTATCTTAAGTTAAACATATACATGATCCAGCCATTCTCTTTGCAGGTATTTACCTAAAAGAAATGGAAGAATGTATCTATACAAAGACTTGTATATGAATATTCAAAGCAGCTTTATTTGTTGTCTTAAGTCATCTCAGGCTGGCATAACAAAATACTATACACTAGGTGGCTTAAACTACAGATACTAATTTCTTGAAGTTCTGGAGGCTCTGAAGTCCAAGATCAAAGTGCTAGCCAATAAAAGCTCTCTTCCTGGCTTGCAAATGACCACCTTCTACCTATATCTTCACATG